CCGGCTGTGACCTGACTGACAGGTTGGACATCACCTCATACACTTTACACATCTTCAAGGTGACATGAAATTATCTATCACAGGTGGATAAACAAACTATGGTGCATGACTTTAACAGAGCACGAGGCGACCTGAAAGAACAAAGACTCCGTTCTTGATTGCGGGTCTAACCTTGGGACATTATGCTGAGTGAAACAAGTCCGTCACCAAAGGGCATGTGCTTTATAGGACCACGATTGTAGAAAGTCAAGAGAAGACTTACATACAGAAACATTATTTGATGGTCACCAGGGATGAGAAGGGAAAGGAGGGCAAATCACTAGCTAGAGCAGGACACACATTAACGTGGGTGATGGGACAGGCGCTGTACAATAGGGAAGAGGGTAGCACAACATGGCCAACGTGACAAAGGAAGGCACGTGAGGTGCACAAGAGTAAAAGACAACAAGGTAACCCCACGACATAATCTGTCCTGGGAGAAGAATAACAAGGGACATCATCTACGAGTGGATCCACAGACAGACATGCAAGCCGAACAGTGGGGAGAAGCCCAATGGGATTACACCCACAAGTGTTTGTGGGCAGGGGATAGTTCTACACGTGTGTTTGAACATGTCAGGCAGAGGGCTACTATGTGCAAGTTTGGGCGTCAAATCCACAAGACGCTCAGAGGGAGAAAGATGAGGCTGTCTGCTCCCATAAATGTTTAGTCTTGGAACTGCTACAGAGGGTCACTAAGAGTCAGATTCAACTCAATGGCCATCTTCTTTATAGGAGGCAAAGGGATGAGAACTTGGTCATAATCAAACACCTTTAGGGAGGGGTCTCTAGGCTTGGGGTTTTAGGACCAAAGTCTCAGGGGACACCTAAATCAATCAGCATCACACAGCCCACAAAGGCAATCTTCCACATCCTACTGTGCTGGGTAGAGACTAGGATCTTAATAGCTCCTGAGTGGCCATCAGAGATGTAACTACTGGTCCTTGTCATTCCAAGTAAAGCAGCGTGAAAACCAGCAAAGATGCAGGGAAACAATTCGTTCACAAGACGAACGGATCACACAAATCACATAGCTGCCACGACCCCGAGACCAGCAGTCCCAGCTCACAATAACAGGTCGGAGACAGAGAAAACCATCAGGATTTTACAAAGACCAGACTTGGACTCGTCTGACAGAGGCTGGTGGAACACCCAAGACTGTGGCCCTTAGACACCATTTAAGCTGGAGCTGAACACACCCTTGGGGGAATCACCGTTCAGCCAAACAATGTGCAGGCTTAGAAAATGAACAAGGAGACCAGGGAGGAACGTACCCTTCAGTTCTATCAACCAACCGAGGCCAAAAGGGCACCATTTGTCCAAACCCAAGGCCAAATAGAAACAGGGAACCCGAGAGGAAGTGGGCAGGTTGCTGTTACATTGTGCAGATTGCAAGCCACAAACCAAAATGCGTATAAATCACTGGATGGGGGGAAAAGAAGGGCGTGGATAAATCCCTGCAGAATGAGCTAAGTGCTAGAAAAGACCTCTGCAGGCTGGTGGCATGGAGAGCAATCAAGACTCCGGCACACATTCCCCACATTCCCACCGCTCAGGTCCACGGCAGCAAGGCACATCGTATGTCCATCCAAGGAGCTAAGACACGCGGAAGCAAAGCAGATACGTCTTCTGAAAATGTTCATTTTCCTCAATCCTCAATTATCCCTCATCATTCAGGGGGGAGGGGAGGGGCCAGGAGCAAAAGCCAAACAAATCAAGCCCTCTGCTATCAAGTCAATTCCAACTCAACAATCTCACAGGACCGAGCAGGGGTGTCGCGCGCAGGGGTTCCCAGGCTGCAAATCCTCAGGAGGTGGCCGCGTCCTCCTCCAGCAGAGGGCTGGTGTGTGCAAACCACTGCCTTCTCAGTGTGGCTGAGCGCTTTAACCACTGTGCCACCAGGGCCTGATCACTTATTTGCTGTCTTATCAGTACCAGGGGCTTCAACACCTTTGGAGGCTCTCCAGCAAGGAGACAGGCGACACAGACACACCCTGGCCAGCAAAGGCTGGAGAGATCGAATCCCAGACACAGGTGATCACCCGGCCATGGAGAAGCCGAGGGAAGTGGACATACACTGAGTAGGAGAAGAAGCTGACTGATGGTAAGGGTGAGTTGACAGTCAACCTGAAACAGTAACATCATTCTGAACTTTTGCAAGCAGCATTCAATAGGGGTGCCCACATTGGTGGCTGGTGGCTTGCCCAGAGAGATGTCATCCTCCCCTCGTTCCCTACAACCTCCTAGGGACTGGAAGTGCGGCCAATCCCCATCTGCACTCACCAGTCAATCCCCTCTCGCCACCCCGTCCATGCTCCAGTTGGTCAAAGCCACCGTTTGTGCCACTGTATCTGGAGACAGGAGCGAGCACAAATTAGTTCTGGATCAGGCGTCCTGACTGGGCACCCCACTCCCTCTCCAACACCTTCCCCACCCCTGAGTCTCCCCCCCCACCACACACACACACACACACACACCACCTAGCTCAAGAGAGCACTACTCACACTGGGTGCCCTGCCCCGCCCGGCCCAAAAGTTTTCTCTCTGGGTCCTGCCCATCCCCGCTCCAGTCTCCCCTGCATTTCCCCCCCTTTTCCCTTCCCTTCCGTATGACCCTGTCCCCTGCTTTCCTTTTTTTCTTTCTATTATTTGTTTTCACCCCTCCTTTCTTAGGTTTTTCTTAACTCCTCTCTATTTGGTCATTTCTTTCCCCAAGCTCCTTAGTGTCGGGGGAAATTTTTTTCTCTCCTTAATTGTCCTTTCCTTTCTTTCCTCTTGTTATTAAATTCTCTTTTTCTTCCTGTTTGTTTCCCATTCTTAAAAAAAAAATTTTTGTTGTTGTTGCTTGTTTTGTTTTTCTTTCGCCCTGTTTGTTCCACCTGACCTAAGAGAACAATTGTGCTCACGCGGCCCAGCTGCCCAGCTACATCGGTACCACCTACAGTCCCACTCACTGGGCAGAGCCACCACCTGCTCCCATACCACCTGATCAGTGATTAACAGCAGCCAAACCCGCCCTCAACCGCACTACAGGAACGGTGCCAAGAACCGCAGACACACACACTTCCGTTTCTACCACCCCCTCCAGGAGACAAATGGTGAGGGTCTACGAACACTCCAATATATAAGCATCTATTTAATGCCAGTACAACGATGTCTCAAGACAACAATTTCAGTTCATACCAAGGGACAAGACCAATGGCTCATAGATAGATACAGCCAAAACCCTTTCTGAGGAAGAACTCGTACTAGAACGAACGACCTGATAAAGAATCCAAAAGAGCGGTGTTACAGTACTTTCAATGCCTTGAGAACGCTGCCGTTCAAAGCAAGAGACACAGAGGACAAACCTTAGAAGAATTCAGGAAAATACAAGATAAACCTGACAAACAAGATGAAAAATTAGAAAGCATATAAAACGGCATATAGAAAACAATATTAACACTAAGTATTCAGAGATAGTGCACTGCAAGGGCAAAGGAGCCCAACTGAACCCACGGAAGACCAAATCACTTAATTAAGCTTAAAGAGACAAATTCCTCAATCTAACCTCCTGGAAGAAAAACCAGAAAGACCACTCCCACCAGCAACAAAGAAGACCTACGAATGATATGGGACACCGTCACAAGGAATGGCTTACATCCGATCAGAAATCTAGAGCAAAGTAAACAAAAGTGGATAAACAGTGCAGTCACAAAACTTCCAAAAGGAGAGGGAGTCAACAATTTCAAGACAGAACAGACTGTTTTAAACTTGGGAAGAAATTAATAAATTATAGGGTAACTTCAAAGGCAATTAATAAACCTCATGAAAGTAAAAGAGGAAAATAAAAAAGATTTAGTAAACATTAAAACGAAAAAAAAAAAGACAAAGAAACCCTCGAAGCGACCTTAGCACAGAAAATCATTCAGAACCAAGAAAGCAAGCCCAGCCCATGACACACAGCATCCGCCACGTCAATGCCTGCCCATGATCACCCCGGCTGCCAACGGGTCCCAGGCACCGGCCTCGAGACAGTCGCAGAATGGATAAGAGACACGTCTTAGACACAAAGACAAAAATAGATTAAAAACAAAAGGATGAAAAAAACATGATCAAACTAATAGCACGCAAAAAAGACAAAGAGTGGCAATATTAACTTCTGATAAAACAGATTTTAAGGTGACAAGTCGTGTTAAGAGACCCGAAAGGACATTACAAAATGATTAAAAGGCCAAAAGAACCAGAAGACATCTATGGACCCAAGGAAACACCAAGGGTCAAACCCACAGCAGAGTCAACTACAGCCCCTACCTAGTGGTGCCGACAGAGGAGAACTGCTCCTTGGGGTCTCCAAGACTCACATCCTGCAGCGAGCAGGCAGGCTCACTCTTCCCCCAGGTGTCTGATGCGGTGAAACTGCTGAGCTAGTAGTTAGCAGCCAACCTGCAACTCACTCTGTCACTGCGGCCCCTGACACGATCAGTAAAAATCCATACACCAAACCCTATCAGGATTAAAGAGGAAATTAGAGGTTTATAAAGACAGAGACTTTCATATACCACTTTCAGTGAGGTGCAGAACTCCGAGAAAGCTCAGCCATGACAGCCCGGTCAACTTGCAGACATGGATAGAACACTCCATCCAACGACAGCACGATCTACATTGTTTTCCAGTGCACAGGGAGCATTTTCCAGAGGAGACACAAAGCAAGGCTCCATCAATTTAAATGCATCAAAAACTACAAAGCAACTTCTCAAATCACAGTGCTATAAAATTACAAATCAACAACAGGAAGGTCAAGGAGAAAAAAAACCATGAACATTGAATAACAACTATTGGGTAACAGAAAAAATAAAAATTCAAATAAAAAGTTCCTTGAATCAGATGAGAATGAAAGCACATCAGACCAAAGCAATGCTTAGCGAGGGCAAACAATAGCCATGAAAGAGCAAAAAGAGAAGAAAAAGCAAAATCAGCACCTTAACCCACTATCTCCTAGAATTCGACAAAGAGCTGCAAAATGGGCCTACCACCCCCAGAAACAAAAAATAAAGATTCGAGCAACAATAAATGAAACAGATACGAGAAATTGGATAGAAACAATCCAGAAGACTAGACGACCACCTTTGAAAGCACTAATAAAACCAACAACATACTGGCAAACCTAACAAAGGAAAAGCTGCAGATACCACAAAGACAAATGAAACGAGAGTCGCAACAACAGAACAGGAGCGCACCAGACTCGATGAACAACTGCAGCCGACACATCTCAAAGCCTGGAGAAGTAGGCCAAGCTTGAGAAACATACCTCTCTCCCCAAAGTCTGAGCCCAGACAACTTTACTGGCGAATTCTACCAAACATTCAGAGAAGAGCTGACAGCAACTCCATCACACGATTCCAGAGGAAGAAAAGGCTGGAATACTCCGAAATACATTTATGAAGTGAGTAGCCCGAAACCAAAACCAAGCAAAGACATCGCTTAACAAAGAAAACACACACCAATATCCCTCATGAACACGAATGCCAAAATGTTCAACAAAAGTCTAGCCAGTGGAATATAACAGCGTATCAAAAAAATAATACATCATGATCAAGGGGGATTCATGCCAGGTATCAAATATGGTTCAACATTAGAAATGCAATCCATGGAATCCACCACATAAATAAAGAAAAATAACCATAGGATCAAATCTATTGGCACAGAAAGGGACTCTGACAAAATTCAACACCCATTCCTGAAAAAACAAACACACAAACAAACAAACAAAATAACACTCGACAAATAGGAATAAAAAGGACACTCAACATAATTAAGGAAATACACACAAAACCAACAATCAACATTATTCTCACCAGAGAGAAATCGAAAGCATCTCTTCTGCAAACGAGAACCGGGTAAGGATGTCCTTTATTATCACTCCTATTCAATGTGTGCTGCAAGTCTTGGCCAGAGCTATTAAACAACAAAAAGAAATCAAAGGTACCTGCATTAGCAAAGAAGTAAAACTATTTGCAAATGATGTAATCCTATAATGAAATAAACAAGTCCCTGCCATCAAGTCAGTTCCAACCCATAGCAACCCTACAGGACAGAGTAGAACTGCCTCTCTGGGGTCCTGAGACTAAACTCTACAGAAGCAGAAAGCCTCATCTTTCCACTAAGGAGCAGCTGGTGGTTTTAAACTACTGACCTTTCGGTTAGCAGCCCAACACAAAACCTACTAGATTTGTTTAAGAATAAAACTAACCAGAGAAACAAAAGAATTACACAGACAGCCAGAGAACACTTCTGTTGTTGCTGCTGTAGTGCAACCCTGTGCGCACTACGAGCGATCAAGAGCTGCACTCACAAGAAAAGAATCCACCGTGCTCATGGACTGGAAAGCCTGACACTGTGAAAATGTCGAGACTCCCCAAGTCGACCTGTAAACATAATGCAATTCCAAACCAGATCCCAGCGTCACTCTCTGAAGAGATGGAAAAAGTAACCACTAACTTTGTATGGGGTGCAAACAGACCCAGGGGAAGCGAAGCACCACTGAAGAATAAGAACAAGTAAGAGGGCTCTCTCATTTTCCTGACTTCAAAACAGCCTGATGGTGGTACAACCAGAGCCACACAGGCCAACGAAACAGAACAGACTCCAGAAAGAAAGTCATGCATTTAGAGA